CTGAGGGGAGTTGAAACATAAATAATGAATTAATTAGACTGAAAACCCAGGCTATTTGTTTACATCTTTCCTTTAAATTGATAAGTCTTGAGTAGCCAAAGGAAGGGGCAGGTCAAGACTGGATTTCATTTCAATCACTGGGGTCAGATGGATAGAGTTTGGGTAAGTAAAGAATTGTTCACACGGTATTAGATAACATTAGAACATAGCACATGAGGGGGGAAAGCTTGAATGTGGGAAGCAGAGTGTAGACACAGCAGGCACCAGTAGCTCTAAAGAAGTTGAAGTAGTGTAAACGGAGGGAATAATTTGATGGAATGGCATAGCAGGATCAGCAGCCACTTTAGACTTTGGAAAACATGGTAGTAGGGAGTCAGACCCCAAGAAATAGATGGTGGGATTACAACCCATATTTGAGAACACTGGGTCTGCAGAGAGCCAAGCCTCGGGAGCAAGTAGCCATGGTCTTCTGACTCAAGCATAGAGAGGAGAATTGTCAGGCAAAGGAAAAGAAAGGTCCCAGAGTCAACTTTTATTCTCTAACATTTTCCATTGTTCAAACCATGGTGTGTTTTCTGTCCCGGATCAAATTTTGAGTGGTAGGTTATATACAGGGTGTCCCCCCCAAATGTATACAGTTGAACAGCTGATAGTTCAAGTGATGTTTCTTTTCAGATTTAACCCATTGGAATTATAATTATTCAAAGTGTGTTTACATTTTTTGGAACACCCTGTATTTGATTAGAATGAGGGTTTAAAATACTGAATGGTTATAGTGACATCCATAAAAATTCTTAAGTCTTTGATGGAGGTCCAAGATGATTGAGTTTGATGCAGTGGTGGAATATGTAGAATATTTAAATGTGAAGATGGAAATAGAATAGAAGGAGACTGGATGATGACAAGCTGTTTCTGATGTCATGTGCTGGGTAACACTAGTTCATTAAATGTGTAAATTTATACACCTACTTCAAAAAGAACTTTGAAGCATCTTAGCATTGTTCATCACAGTTGAAAATAGATTTTATTTTTGTATACAACAAAACTAGTTAAATATAGCAGAGAAGTAGATGTTAGTAGATGTTTGAGTATATGTTTATACTACTAAACATCAGCAAGGTCCACCATAGAAGCCAACGCACAAGAAAGGGGAAACGTTAAATCATCCTTTTTCAATAAAAAATAAGCACAAGGGAATTAGCTCAGTCATTCTTATGTTTCTGAATTCAAGGAAAATATATTTTGTGAATTTTTGTATAAGGGACTTTTTGGTACAGATAACTATTTCTTTAACAGGTTGCTAAAAGACAGTGTTCTAGGGGAAATTTTTATCAATCTTTATAAGTTAAGAACAATATTAAATTTTATTACAGGAATTCACTGAGGAATTAGATGAAATGATCTATGCCTGTTTCCTGATGATCAGAGTTCATAAAGAAACGAGATTTTAGAGAATCTAGAGAAAAAGTTGGAAGCATAATATGTATTCAGTGATCCTTTGAAAAATACTAAATTACTATTTCTCTGAGTAGTGCCTTAAGTTTCTGTAGTAGATGCATTGTTTAAATGCAGTAGATTTAGAAAGGGGTTCTCAGATGAAAGGTGACTTTTTAGATTGTTGAAAATGTTTGACAAGTCTAAATTATTTTTCCGCTACCTCACCTCCCAGAACCTGCCTTTCTCATCCCCTCTCTAACCACCTCCCCCCTACCCTCCAGAAAAAAAAAAAAAAGCCCAAAAGCAAAGCTTTAGTCTGCTAAAGTATGGACTAATTAATGCTTGATTGAAATTTCAGGGCTTACCAAAGAAAATGAAAGTAATGTATTATTAACCATAGGTAGAACTTGATACATTTTCGTTGCCCTAGTAATATAAATGACTATAGAAAGGACCTTCAAATGGCTTAGTGAAAACATGTTTGATGGGTCTTTTAATGTTCACTTAATGGAGAATAACTACCAAAGAGGAAGGTTTTAATAATGGTCAACTTTGTTGAGCTACTTAATTTTGTTCTAAAAAGTTTATATGCAGTGTTTCTGTGAAATGAGTATTTTTATTTTGTAAATGAGAAAACTAAGCTTCAGAGGTTTAACAACTTGTAGTAAGATGACTTAGTTGGAATTCAAATCCAGGTCTTTCTGTGTAAAGCTTGTGCAATGCTGTGTCTTGTATTTGTTCATTTTAATTTATTAAGAAACATATATTCTCTACTGGACACACAGAGGATACAGTTTGGTGCAAAGGAAAAAAATCTAAATCAAGTCAGGGTTTCATTCTTAGAGCTTATTCTCTAGTAGGAGAGGGCAGTAGTGGGTTTCAGATGGGCAGCAATAAATTCTTTGCTTTACATGACTTGTTATAAGCACTATATGTAGAATGTGTTGATGTTATTTTGCACCTGGTGAGTAGACTGGCATGGGGTAGGAATTACGGCTACAAATATATTGAAGTTCCCTGTGAGTTTGACAGAGATGGCACTTCTTAAAGGATCTGATGAGATCCTCATCCTGGTTGGGCATTATCATCAAGAGGTGGGCAGCTTTCTTGGACAGCTCTTGGTGTACAATTAACCTCTTGTTAACTTAAAATGCATTAAGGAACTTACATCCTTTGTCTTTTATTAATACTCAGGTATTAAAAATCATACAAGTAAATGCCAAATTACTGCAATGAATACTTCGAAGGCAACTAACAGTAGAGTGAGAGCATAAAAGAAGGTTTTGATGTGGTTGGGGAGGGGGTAGGGAAGGCTTTCTTCATTAGGTGTTGCTTTAACTAAGATGGATGAGTATGCATTAACAGCGGGGAGGCCCTGGTGGAGAGTATTCCAAATAGAACAAACCCATTTTAAAGGCTTTGAATTGGGAACTGAAAAAGATCTTTGTGCCTGGAGCAGAGGGCTGGGGAGGGAATCATGGGGTGAAATGAAACTGGAAAGGTAGGCAGGAGTTAGATCAAGGCAGGACCTTGTATATGTAGATTTTTGTGTTTCTTCAAAGAATGGGAAGTCACTGACCTTTTTAAGGGGTAGAGAGAATGGTTGGTGAATATTAATCACCTAATCAGATTGGTTTTTGTAAAGGTAGACATGCCACATTTAGGTGTTCTCTGTATGAGAGATGAAAGTAATTTGGACTATGGTTGTGGTCATGGTTGGAGGAGGACGAGGAGAAACAAATATGGGGAAAACGGTAAAAATGAACAGAATTCAGTGATGAATTTCTAGTTTATTAATCAAACTTGCTTTGTCTGTACAAGTTGTTTTTGCACTGTTGTAATGACCAAAGGTTAGTTTCCAGACTTGTATATAGTATCTTACAGCATTATTTAAAACCTTAGTATCACTGAGTACATTGCAAATTTTAATCACTATTCATTTAAGCTCAGTTATTTGTTGTTTCCTAATTCCCCACCTTGTCTCAGTTTTCTCTCTAATTTTCTCTCTAAGCAGTATTATCCTTTGCTTAAAATAGAAATTTCAAAAAAGATTTTTTTGAGGGGGAGATTATTGCTAAACAAGAAATCTATTGATTTTTAAAAAGTTTTGAGATACAATTCACATGCCATATAATTAATCAATTTAAAGTGTATAATTCACTGGTTTTTAGTATGGTTGTATAACCATCACCACATTTAATTTTGTAATATTTTCATTACCCCTAAAAGAAATGCCGTGCTCATTAGTACTCACTCCATACTTTTTACCAACTCCCCCTCTTCCACATTGTAGACAGTCACTAATAGATTAGTCCTTTCTGGACATTTCATAGAAATACTGGAGGCCCGATGCATGAAATTTGTGCAAGAGTAGGCCTTCCTCCCCCTGCTCCCGGCACCGGCTTCCCCCTGGCCGCTGGCAGGCACCTGGGACCCCGGCTTCCCTTGTAGCCCCGGCTTCATCCTGAAGGTCGTCCGGAAAAACCTCTGGTCTAGTTAGCATATTATGCTTTTATTATTATAGATAATCCTATGATTGTTTTTTTTTTATTTAAAAATTTTTATATGTTTTTATTGATTTCAGGGAGAGGGAGAGAGAAAGAGAGAAACATCGATAAGAGAGAAACATTGATTGGCTGCCTCCTGCATGTCCCCTACTGGGGACCAAGCCCACACCCAGGCATGTGCCCTACCTCTAATCAAACTGGCAACCTCCTGGTGCATGGATTGATACTCAACCACTGAGTGACACCTGCCAAGCTGTTTTATTTTTAAATTAATATGGCTTTTCTTCTTTTTTAACTGAGTATAGTTTTTTTTAAATTCATCTGTTTTGTAGCATGTTTCATTTTTGTTTCCATGGCTAATAATTTCTTTATTAAATTTTCATCAGTTGGTGGACATTTGGGTGGTTTTCACTTTTTAAATGAGTTTTTTCGTGAATAATGTTGCAGTAACATTTGTGTACAAGTTTTATGTGACCATATATTTTCAACTTTTATATATACTTGGGAGTGGAATTGCTGGGCTATATTGTATATTATTATGTTTCATCTTTTAAGAAACTGTCAAACTGGTTTCCAAAGCTGCTGTACCATTTTTACATTCTCACGAGCATTGTATAAGGGTTCCAGTTCCTCCACATTCTTACTAACACATTATTTTCTGTCTTTTTTTACTATAAGCAAGTTGACTCGGTACCTCATTGTAGTTTTGATTTTCATTTCCCAGATGGCTAATGATGTTGAACTTGATTTTTAAAAGAAAGGCAGTACTTTGATTTCATTGAGAATATAAAATTGGAAATGTTTGGTAATTTCATATAATTGCTTAAAGACAGTTTTGCTGAATTTAAAATTTGTTGTGGCTCAGTTGGTTGGAGTGTCCTCAGTCAGGGCACATACTTGGTTATGAGTTCAATCCCATCTGGGCATGTATGGGAAGGCAATTGATTGATGTTTCTCACATTGATGTTTCTTCTCTCTTCCCTCCCCTCCCTCTAAAATCAATAAGCATGTCCTTGGGTGGGGATTAAAATTTGTTGTTGTTGTTGTTTTTATTAGCTGTATTCCCTGAATGACTACAAGCCACCAATTTCGAAAGCGAAAATGACCCAAATCACTAAAGCAGCCATCAAAGCTATTAAGGTAATACATTTTATTCTTGTTTTTAAAAAGAAAATACTGCAGTAATATTTTGGAGCTGGGATAATTTTTACAGATTATATATGTTCTTCCTCTTTACAGAGTTAATTCATATTCATGGAGAAAAAAACAAAAATGAAAATCTATCACTGTAAACTCTCCCACCTAGAGATAAACACTTAACATTTTGATAACTGTTCTTCCATAAACTTTGAGCCAGCATTTTTCCTTACTTTTCTTGGGCGGGTAAGATATTAGATATGGGCACATTTTGGAGGATGTGTTTAACACTGTTATTTGGCACACTGACTTTACAGAACGTTGAAATCTTGAATTAGTAAAATTTTTCTAAAAATTTTTTTATTGCTTTTTTTTCTTATCAATTGTATTAAATATTTGAAAACGAGCCATTATGGAAAATAATTGAGCCTCATTGTACATAGGGCATTTGAATTGTGGGAAGAGGCCACAGACATTTAACCATTGCTCTCATACGATGGTTTTGAACATGTTGACTCATGGATACTTCTGAAAACCTCAGGAAGAGGTTGGATCTTCTCTAGAGAAGTATACATATACACAAAATTTATTGGCGTTAAGGACCTTTTGAAGCTCAGCCGTAGACATCTCTCTAAGAGGTTCCTGTTCCCAAAGCTAAGACTCCCTGCTTGAGTAGGGCTATTAAAATTGAAAATGAATGCTTATTTTTAATTATGTAGTTATTTATTAACCTGTGGATATTTGGTGGTATGCTTTCCTACTCTTAATAAGAATATCAGCAATACCCTGAAGTACCGGGGTAAGCAGGGAGATAATGACTTTGAAAACAACTCCCTTGCATACATTTATTAATGCTTTTTGTTGACATTTATTTGATTTTTCTACTATGCTAATTTAGCTTAAAAAATGATACTAGAGAAAATCTTTTCCTTTTGCGCAAATAAGAATATATATCTGCCAGTGTGCTTATTACAAATATTTTGCTGTCATTATAACTATTTGTGAAAATATGCTTTCATAAAGACAATTCTTGTGTATCTGTGTTAATGTAACACATCTTGAATATAATGCCATATACCTACTTCAGCAATTCCTTTACTGATTAGATATCATAGGTAGTTGTAAAGACCAGTTACATGAATGGCTGTCTCAAAATTCATGATTAATATTCATTGTTTTGATAGACCTTTGAAACTATAGTAAATCCTATGTTTAGCAGGAAAATGCTAATTGTAAGCAAACAGATTTTTAAAACCATGCTTTATTTATTTTTTTTAGTTCTATAAACATGTGGTACAGAGTGTTGAGAAATTCATTCAGAAAGTAAGTATATAATTTTCCTTATATATGCTTAATGAATTATAATTATAGATTAATGCCTTGTGCTCTTCTCATTTAAATCAAATACCGAAGTTGAAATTGTTTTAACAGACTGTTCACTTACTTTATTTTCTAACTAGAGGCCCGGTGCATGAAAATTCATTCACTCGATGGGGGGGTCGTTCAGCCCGGCCTGCGCCCTCTGGTAGTCCAGGACCTCTTGGGGGATGTCCACCTGCCAGCTTAGGCCCGCTCCCTGGGGGATCGGGCCTAAGCTGGCAGTCAGACATCTCTCTGGCAGCCCAGGAGCCCAAAAACATTGGTAGTTGGAAATTCTAAAGCCTTTAAAAGTCTTTCTGAAAAGGTTTGAATGTCTAGAGCAGTGCCTAGGGATCTTGTTAAAATGCGGACTCTGATTCACTAATGTGGGAGGGGCTCAGATTGCATTTCTGTTTCGAGATGATGCCTTTGCTTTTAGCTCCTAAACCACAGTTTGAGTAGTAGGGGCTAAAGGATAAATATGAATTTATGCGTTAATGTTTTTTGACTGATTTGATTTGGGGCAAGGGCACTTTTAATTAGTTATTTCAGAATCTTAGGAACTCTTTGGGTGAGCACAGTTATTTTTATTGTGTGATAATTGTAGAGTCAATCTGAAGAAGCAAGTCAGTAGCTGAGGGAACATTTTTTTTTTAAGTGAAGAAAATGGATGGAATTTAATCTTCATTTGTAGGACACTGCAATACATGAAATTCCACATAAATAAGAAACCTGTTGGAGGAGAAGCTTTGTATAGTATATATAATTTGGAACTGTTCAAGTATAGTTTTTGTTTTAAAAAGTGCTACAGTAACAAACCACATCCACATTTAAAGAGTTCTTAGAGAAACTGTAAGACAAACTTAAACCAAACAAAGTGTTATCGGGGAAATTGGGGTTTCCTTTTCCGCACTGCATGCTGGGGGTGGAGTCATTCTGACATCTAGAAAAAGAATTTTCTGAGACTCACACTAGAGAATGAATGATTTTTATTTGTGTGGAATTACATCCCTGGGTTTTCAAAGTCCCATTTTCCCTAGTGCAGTTATAGAAGTGCAGCTGGGGCTTCAGCAGAGCTAGAAGCAAAGCCAGTGTCCAGAGTTTGCGTTCCATGTTGCAGCCAGGTCCAGTTCAGCCTCAGGCTAGTTGCCCATTAGTCCATTGTGTGTGGGCAAAAGCAGGGGAACCAAGAGCACTCGAGCCTCCCATGCAACAAGAGTTCCAAGAGCAAAAAGAGAGTGTAGTCCTTTGTTTAGGGAATTAAATATCCCAATTTTTGCTCCTTTGCAGTAGCCACACCCTTCTGGCTAATGACTTATTCCCAGGTGTCACTGATAGGCAGGTACCTTCAGTGTCATCCCAACTTTACTGGGTATGAAGTTATTCTCTCTGCATCCAGTCCCTTCCCCCAGCCATCTATGGGGCACAGACCAGTGAGTCCCTGGGGAGTGTAAAGCTTTAGTTTCCTGGTGAAGCTGCCCAAGTGACATGCCTATAATATTTGGCCTTCCTTGTGTTCCTTTCCTTTTATTAATAACTAGGTTAATTATAACTATCAAAAGTACACAGCTAACAACTTTTGCCTCAGTTGTACAGTCTAAAAGTTAAAGGTCCCAGGAGGGCTACCCTGAACTTGTAATATGTAGCCTTCAGAGTTAGTTTTTGGCACATTTTGATCATTCCTCTTCTTTGAAGGAGAAACACTTCTCAGTCAAGTATAATGAATATTAATGAAGCTTTATAGAGCTTTATTAATGAAACTTAGAGGCCTGGTGCACAAAATTTGTAATTTGTGCATGGGAGTGAGGGGCTCCCTCAGCCTGGCCTGCACCCTCTCACAGTCTGGGACCCTCACTCCTTACTGCCCACCTGCAGCAGAGGCGGGAGAGGCTCCCGCCACCGCCCTGTGCTCGCCAGCTTTTGGCTGAGCGGCGCTCCCCCTATGGGAGTGTATTGACCACCAGGTGGCAGCTCCTGCGCTGAGCATATGTCCCCTGGTGGTCAGTGCGCGTCATAGCAACCGGTTGTTCCACCGGTCTTTTGGCTGTGTGGTCGATTTGCATGTTAGGGTCTTATTATATAGGATTTTGTAGAGTTTCAGTTTTGTCCACACTGCCACATTCTTCAGTCATCATGCTAAATTTCCCACCACAATGAACGAGGTATACAATCTGTTCAACTGTTTCACCACTTGTGTAGTTGGTTATAGCCCATACAGCTTCCTTTTGAGTCTTAAAGTCTTCCTTAGAGAGAATGCCAAAGAGGAATGACATTCCCTAGTCAATGTCTGGGGGGAAATTTAAATGTGTGTGTGTTTTTTTGTTTGTTTTTCATTGATTTCAGAGAGAGGAAGGAAAAGAGAGAGAGATAGACGCGTCAGTGATGAAAGAGAATCAATTGGCTGCCTCCTGCATGCCGCCCCCTATTGGGGATCAAGCCTGAACTGGGTATGTGCCCTGATCAGGAATTGGAATCAGTGCTTGTGAATTGGTGCTAAAGGTCTCTTCATTTTCTTGACTTAATAAATACCTTAAGGAAAAGGTTCTTAAAAAGAATTTGAAGGAACATATGAAATATATCATCTTGGTTTTTTTCAGAGTGAAATTACTCATTTATCAGTTAAAAGTCCTAATAGAAATGTGTGTTTATGTGTTGGGGGTGTATTCCCACTGGTACTTGAGTTTCCAAGAACATAATTTTGATTTGGTGCTGTTTATGATTTCTAGGAAATTACTTAATTAGATCCAAAAGTTGAACCTGCTTTTTGCAGCGATGATTTCATTTTAATCAACAATATGTTTGGGAAACAGGTTTTTTTATGCTTTTGGATATGAAGACAAACTAAAAGCAGTGAAATTGTTAGTAAAAGGATTCTAAATTGTGCTCACCTAACTAAATAGGCTAGCAAAGCTTGTGGCAAGAAAGGAGGAGACTTTATGTTCTTCAATTTGGGTAATGGACATGAAGGTTGAGGAACATCCTTGGAATAGCTAAAAAATGTTTTTGTAGAATAAATTCTTGGAATCAGAATGGGAGTGTCTTAACTTTTTACAGGTGTGGTATTTGAGAAAAGTTTTGAAACTTCAGGCTCAGTACATTTAGAACGCTATAATTTGCCATTTGGTATTTGTTCCTACATTAGTACAGAAACCCTATTGTTACCTGTTTCACATGAAAGCTGATGCACCTTGGCAATGCTTTTTCAGAGCTCTTCTTTCCTGGATTTGCTGCTTCCTTCCATGGGGCTTTGCAAAATCATTGCCCATCATTTTTAATTGTAATTTTTTAAAATTATTCTTTTGTTGTTGTTGTTATTCAGGACAATTGTGCAGTCCTACATTGGAACTTAGGTGATTGACAATTGAAATGAGTGTGTAGAGTAGCCCAACTAGATTCTTTAAAGTGCCACTCCAGACAGATGGAATGGGGAATAGTCAATGTCTGAATATGTAGAACCTTAAAATGAACAGTGCTTGTATAGGACTTAGGATGATTTTTGTCTGCCAGGAATTTTACCTTCTCATTTCCTTACCTTTCAACTCTTCTTTTTTAAATCAGTGTAAACCAGAATACAAGGTACCTGGACTTTATGTTATTGACTCCATTGTACGACAATCTCGACATCAGTTTGGTCAAGAAAAGGATGTATTTGCACCCAGATTTAGTAATAACATCATTAGCACTTTCCAGAATTTATATCGTTGCCCTGGGGATGACAAGGTATGCTTCTTCTTCTTTTTTTAAAGTGGACAGATAACATTACCTTTTGGGGCTTAATGAGACTCTTTAGATTATCTTAATTTATGATTTTATGTTATCTTTTACTCTTCAGTTATTCTGAATTTGAATATTTAGTTATACTACCCATGTTCCTTTTTGTTCTTAGAATCTTTTTAAACAGTGGAAAGATGTAGGTTGATTTTGCTGCTTTTTAATTTATTGAAACAATTGATGCTAAGGAAACTTGCTATCATGAGCTTTTGGGATTATACTAAAATTTTATTTATTCACATTCATGACCAATTCAGAATTTTGATTGTTTGACTTCATTTACCTATTTAGTGTCTGTGAAAAACAGATTTGTGAAGCAACTAATAGAAAATAACTAACCTGCATCTCAGAATTCTTTTGTAATGGTAGAGTTTTATTGGTGCTGGAAACCACACTACTAGGCCTGCTAGGTCTGAATGAGTAAATATTCTGTACCACACAAAAAAGGCCTTACAGCCTGAGGGAGAATAACGAGGGGTTGTTTATCTTCATACATGGGCAAAGATGCTATAAGTTTACTTATTTTGTGTGTTGATTTGGAAATTTATTGTGCTCTTCTGACCAGATTGATTGCAATATTGATTATATAGGAAAAGATAAGAATAGGTGAAGAAGAATGGTTGCTTTAAAGAAGAGCCACAAAACTTAGGTAGTTTTTATTTTTAATTACAGTCTTTAATCAAGAAAAAAATGTTATAATGGATATATATGGAGATATTATTGTATCAGTTTTTGTAAACAATCCTTGAATATGCTTGCTTGAGAAACAAAACTTTCTTTTACATTTACTTTGGTACTTTGATAATTCTTTGCAGGCAAAAAAATTGTTTCCAATTTTAAGTGACCTCTCATAAGTGATTCTTAAAATAGACACCTTAGAATCCCATCTAAAATAACTAATTTAAAATTTTATGTGTACATTTTTTGAAGTTAAACACTTAGAAATATCACTAATTTGGATTTGGATTTCTATCAGTTACTATGAACAACAAATTAGTATTGAGTTTCTAAACTTCATGATAATTTTCTCAGTTATAATAGAGTTTAAGGTACAGAGTTATTTGCTTATTTTTTAACCGTAGTAGGAAAGATGACATTGGCACTATAATCTCAATCATAGTCTTGAGGCACTATTTGCATGTAGATAGATACATACATGAAACTTGTCAGAGATTGGCTAATTTTGAATTAGCCATTGTCTTGGGAACTAGAAGGTTTCTTTCTATAAAGCAAAAAACTGTAAGGTACATTTTAAGTGTTCACGTCAAAGAAAGGAGAGTCAAATCAGATGGTATGAAGCATTCTTTGTGTAATTTTCTATGCTTCATTTGAAATACAAAAGTTTGCATATTAATCTAGATTGGACATACTTTGAAAATCATCAGTATAATATTATAAGGGATTTAAAAATGAACCAGATCTTCATTTTTAAAATTGCTGCTTTTACTATTACAAAATATATACATTAATGTAGAAGTCTCTTTAATATTTAAGCTCAGCCTGTTATTTAAGTTATTTTCCTAATTGAGTAAGTAATGTTCCAATAATAACTAATACTTAGTGCTGTTTAAAGAACTTTTGTATGCTGAACAGTTGTGAAAGAGTGTAAATTTGGTTAAATTCTTATTTGAGGAAGTAACCTCCCCGGTCTTTAGACAGTTTTAAAATAAAATTTTTTATAAAGTCACGTATGATAAGAACTTTGTCTTGGTGTTACTTGTTTAAAAGATAAAGTTAAAATCAACTACAAATATGACTTTAATACTGATGTGAATTCTGACCTGCCGCAGCAGCTTGACATTTCTCCAGCCAACCATAACCGTGATCTCATTAGACTTCACATGGCAGCTGAAACCTAGTTGCCCTTCCCGCCTTCTGCTAAGTGTAGCTTTAGCTTAACTTGTGTATCTGTCAGAATGAATCTGTGTGGTTTTTTCCCAAGTCAGTTAAGGTTACCGAATGCAAAATTATAGAAACAATTTCAGGGCTGGAAAGTTCTGTAGAAATTATTTTAATCCATTTTTCCCACCCACTGGCCAAATAGTATGTGCTAAGGTTTAAAAGCAAAAAAATCAGTGTCATTTTTCTTTTTTCTTCTAGAGTAAAATAGTGAGAGTATTGAATTTATGGCAGAAGAACAATGTATTTAAGAGTGAGATTATTCAGCCTCTTTTGGATATGGCAGCAGGAATTCCTCCTCCAGTTGTCACACCTGTCCTGGCCAGTACTACTGCTGCTATGAGCAATACCCCAGGTATGTTGCTTTGATACAGACTTATTCTCCAAATATTGTGCCCATACTTCTCAGGTGATTATTCATATGTAAAATAGTGATTCCGCAGTGCAGGAGAATTTGACTAGACTAGGTAATGGAAAAGTAATTTGAAGGAAAAATAAATTCAGAAATTACATTTGTGTGTAATTCATTTCTAAAAACTAGGGAGCTGAATATTTTTAGTCCTTAGATACATAAACATAAAAAGCCTTTGGGAAATTGGTGTGTCAGTTAGGTTTTTCCTGATTTAACTGCCTATAATCTTTTAAACTTCTATGCAGATCAACTTGATAATATTTCACAGTATACTAGAGAAACATAGTATTATAAGAAACCATGAAAAAATTTGATGGAGCCAATAATGCTTTAATAATCTCAAAATCAGTTCTTGAGTTTTAATTGACATACTTTATCATATCCAAGAATTACATTTGTTAACATTTTGGTATATATTTAGTTTTTGGTGTGTGTGTGCATTTTTGAACAAAAATAGCTTTATATATACTAGTTTATAACTTTTCATTGAAGATTGTATTTTGGTTAATTTTTTATGTAATTGATTTTCATCTGTAGTAAGATTTTTAATGGCTGCTAAGTATTATAGTAGTAATTTAAAGTAGTTAATTGTAGACAAGAATGGACCATCCTTTTGGTATTTTAACCTATCTAATTCTGTAATGATTTTTCAAAATAGAGACAGTAAAATAAAACATTTATATAAATATGTATGTGTTTTATGAAAGTGACACAGCAAATTTCTCTACCTTTTCAAGCTTTATTTATTTACTTACAAATTTATTGGGGTGGGTGTGATGTCTCTTTTTAAAGGAACTCCTGTGACACCTGTTACTCCAGCCAATGTGGTCCAAGGTTTACCTGATCCATGGGTATCCCAGATAGCAAATACAGATACACTTACAGCTGTAGCTCAGATCTTACAAAGTCCTCAAGGCCAGCAGGTGAGAAGCTTTTTTATATTGACAATGATATAGAACTCATTATTTTCCTAATGGATTGTTTCATAATGCACCGTCTAGAACAGTGGTTCCCAACCTTCCTAATGCCGAGACCCTTTAATACAGTTCCTCATGTTGCAGTGACCCCCAATTTCATTGTTACAAATTGAACATAATTAAAGCATAGTGATTAATCACAAAAACAATATGTAATTATAGATGTGTTTTCCGATGGTCTTAGGTGACCCCTATGAAAGGGTCGTTCGACCCCCAAAGGGGTCGCGACCCACAGGTTGAGAACCGCTGGTTTAGAATGTGTGTGTGTTTTCTTAGCACTTACTATCTTGTTACAGTGTATAAGTTATTATTTTGTTTATTCTGTTTTTTCCTACTGGAATGTATGCTATACAAGGGCAAAGGTTTTTGTTCTGTTCACTGCTGTATCTGTAGTTTCTAGGTTCTAGCAGGCATTTAACACTCTTGTGTAGAAGGAATGAATAATGTATATTGCGTATACAAAAGATATTTTAGAGTTGAGTTGTCTGGAAGGTAAGGTGGCCTGTGCCTATACTTGTAAGTTATTAGTGAAAAAGTTGAAATGGTAGATTAAAGTGTGGGGCCTGGGTTTTACTATACATAAATGGTGAGCTGAGAAATAAAGGATTGATAAAAAGCAGTGGTGAATTGCTAGATATTTTTATGTTGAAGTCACATGATCTGAACTGTACTTTAATGGGTGGGAGAGGAGAGAAGGTCTGGAGAGAGGAGTATCTTTGTTTTGGTAACAATGATAATGTAAGGGAATAATGACCATGTGAAAAGTAGTAGGGACTTTAAAAAAGGACAATCTCAAAAAAAAAAAAAAGACAATATAAAAACCAATTCAATTATATTCATATAGCAGACCCAATTTCTACATTTTTGGCACAGTTAGGAAACTGAATTGATAATACATAAAATTATTAGATTATTAATTTTATTTTGTGATACTGATATTTTGAAAATCATAAAGTAAATGTTTCCATTTTTAAAAATACTTATGAAAATAAATACTTTTAGCAGGAGATGGGATTTTCCAGGAGAAATAATACATAGAGTCAAGAAGACACAGTAATTGATAGAATATCAAGTGCAGAGTAGAGGAAAAGTAGGATCCTGCACTGGTTTATACCTGGGTGACTGAAAATATAACAGTGCTATTGGGGAAAAATGGGGTGCCAAAAGGGGCAGTTAAAGTGTGTAAAGGAAAGATATGGCCTCTCTTCCTCCTTCCCTCCCCAGTTCCCTTTATTCCTTTCTCTCTCTCCCTTTCTTCCTCCCTTCATTCTGTCTGTTCTGTAGCTTCCTCAGTGCGGTAATTCAACCATCATATATTTTTAAAGTATTTTTTTTTTTTGGTATTATATTAGCAGTCTGTAGTAAATGTTTATTTGATAGCTTAATGACTCCTTTGTTTCTTAATGTTGCTATTTTAGATAGGCATGAAATTATTTTACTGTCATCTTGAGTGATGTTTGTACTTTCTCCCGCTAAGAGGGTGGATGAGAAGAAGGGGGAAGAACGGTTACTTTCAACTCTTGTTGCACTGTTCACCTTTATTTTCCTTAGTTTTGAACTCTGCTTCAAGGGACAGATTTCTTTGCTTTCCTATTTGAGGAAACATGCTATCAGATGTCAGATCTGAAAGATAGTAAAAGCAGTAGTAGTCAGTGCTTGTCCTTTTACAGAGGTTAAGTAAGTTAATTGAAGAAGAGATGAAAAGCTTTGTGAAAAGAAATGAGTCTGCTTGTGATGAGTTCTTTATTGGTTATTGAACGAACACTTTTTTGTTTTCTGACTTTCCAGAAGCAAGACAAATTTATTAAGGAATGTTATATATTTGGGCACACAAAATTTATTTTTTTAAAAATTAACTCTTGTGTTAGTTTACATTTTTTTTCTTCATCTCCAGAAACTAGAATGAATTCTATTGACTAAAAGCTTTAGATGGGCATTCTGATAAAACCCAGCACCTGTCTGTATTAATTTTCCCGTTTTTTTCCCTTCCAGTTTCAGCAGTTAATACAAACTTTACAGATACAACAGCAGAAGCCCCAGCCTTCCATCCTGCAGGCCCTGGATGCTGGTCTTGTTGTTCAGTTGCAGGCTCTGACCGCACAGCTTACAGCTGCAGCTGCAGCAGCCAATACGCTCAATCCCTTAGAACAGGGAGTGTCTTTTAACAAGGTAGAAATTAAGTTATCAAGTCTGTTCTATGTGAATTATGGGATTTTATATACTATCATGTAGGTAATTGAGTTTTATCATAGAATTATTTCAATTTCTACTGTACAAGATGTTACCAGTTTTACAAAAGGCTCAAATTTCTTAAATTAAGTACTTTTACAATTCTGTTTGAAACATTTACAATATTTTCCTTTGCATAAAGATAAACGATTTTTAGGTCAGTAAAATTGTGAATTCACCTTTAAGGCAATTTATTATTTTCTGAATTTCTAAATTTCTTTTTTGGATGTTGTATTAATTATGGTGTTCTATAATTTTAACCTGCTAAAATTAAAGCTGTTCATTGTGTAAGTTCAAAGAACAACTTTTCTACAAGTTGTCATTATTCTATAATATTTTGATAAATTGAGGTCTAACTATCATGTTTTTTAAGTTGAAAACTTTTCATGTATAGCTTATTGTGTGATATGTTCATTATTCTTGTTAATTATGGGAATATTAAAATACCTTGGAAGAGTTACCCATAATTTATTTGTGCTATTATTATTTTCCATAGAAAATAATGATTTATTGAGTTACTAGATTTTTTCAGCCAGCAGCTTCTAAGTGTAATTTAGCCTGACTCTAAATAGCTAGACCACATAAAATTCTTCAAATTGATCATTTAGAAAACAGTGGAGCATTTTAAGAAAACTGTACTAGGAATAGATCATTGATTATAGTCCTAGATATTTTTATCAAGCTTTATTACCATTGGCAAGCCACTTTATTTTGATTCTAATTTTTTCAAGAAAAGATCCACTCAAATAAAATGTTTTAGTATATTATAACATGAAAGGATTATATGAAACATTTTCATATTAACTATTGAGTAATACAGATAAATTAGTGGGATGTAATTGACCTTTAAATAAAAAAGCATTTGTAACATATTTGTGAGAAGCACTTCTTAATCTCTCTCTTTCTCTTCCTCCCCTTCCACACCCCCTCCCCCCAGAAGTTGATGGATAGGTTTGATTTTGGAGAAGATTCTGAGCATAGTGAAGAACCCAAAAAAGAAATTCCAACTTCTCAACTGTAAGCATCATTATGTTTTTCTTTATAACCATAAATGTTTGATGGTTTTTTTAAATAAACATTGGATGGAATGCTGCATTCTGAACTACTAGATATCCTTTGAATAAGTTAGGCTGTTTTGTTCTAACATTACAAAATGATGGTAGGATGGTTTTCTCGTTGCCTCACTCACTATATTATTTGGACTCTCAGATCTTTGCAGATAGTTGGCTATATGAAAAGTCTTTATGGGAATGTTGATAAATCTAGTTGTGATATTTTCTGTATCTATATTAGGCTTTATTTATCTCACTTGTAAGAACATTTGAAATAATCGGAAAGAAGCTTGCTTCTAGTGCCAGGGACCACTTCTGAGAAGTATACCAAATCCTGGAAGTGTATCAGACTAATCAGAAGTAGAGGTTAGGGTTGTAGGGATTTTTGTTGTTGTTGTTGTTGTTGATAATCCTCACCTGGTGATATTTTGCCATTGATTTTAGAGAGAGTGAACAGGAGAGAGAGACAGAGGAGAAACATCGATGTGAGAGAGACACATCGATTGGTTGCCTTTCCACATGCCCTGACCATGCCCGTTGATCAGGCCTGCAACTGAGGTACATGCCCTCATGTACTGAAGGGTCCTGGAATTGAACCCGGGACCCTTCAGTCCTCAGCCGCTGCTCTTCCCACTGAGCCAAACTGGCTAGGGTGGGATCTTTTTTTTTTTTTTAAAGAAATGATTGTATGTTTTTATTTATCTCAGCCTCCCCACCCCCACCAGTTCTGCAGAGCCCTAAATTTTGTGAAGGTTCATGAAAACAACATTGGGTGTGGTGTGGAAAGTGGGAGAATGGAAGGGGATTGATGAATGAGGAGAACTTCTGGGAATCTTGTTTCAAACGGTTTATTAGTTTTATATATCGGGATAATGTATTTAAAGATTATTTATATAATATAAAATACAAATATATTATTTTGATAAAAAGATTGTACTTGAAATAATTAACAACTGATGTTTTAGATTGAGTTGTGAAGTTAGAAGAAGCATTTGAAATTATGTAGATCAGTTGCTTGAACAATATAAGAATCATCTATCTTTAATAATCTTGACAGCAAGGTATTTATCCAATATAGTAATGCCTTCCATTATGAGAAGTTAAGTAATTATTATTGTTTTATGTTCTTTTGTTACTGAATCCTGTTTTTGATTTGCCATCTACACACTCATCCCCGTTCTGCTTTCTGAAGCAAGGAAACATTTGCTCCACTATCATTTGAGACATAGCCCTTCAGTTTTTGAAAATAGGTATCATTCTTCTCTTTAGGCTTATTTGCTCCAGATGACGTACTCTTTTTTTAACTGTTTCAAGACTTCTCACCATCCTGATTGTCCCCTTTGGGATGCCCTCTTTTTTGTTCCTTTTACCTTGTGGCACCCAGAATTCCAGGTGTGAATTTCCCAGAGTATAGTTAAATTATTTCCTCCTATTTAAACATTGTTTCTGTTAGCATATCTAATAACATGAGGGCTTTTTTAAAGAAAGCAGATTAATTTTATGAATTTTATTGTCAATTATAATTATAGATTTCATATGTACTAATAGAATATTTTTCCCACTATTTCATAGAGAAGTTAAAGTGACTGTTTAAATACTTTTAAACTGATTTTAGAAGTTTAATTGAGCTTTTCTTAAAATGTTCTATTGTAAAAAGTACTAACATATTTAATAGCATGAGATAGTAATATCAAATCTTTATCAGAGTGTCTCTAACATGTCATATATTGAAACACTATTGAAGAGTATATTTCTATTTTAACATAGTAATGTTTTGAGGTATTCCATTTTCTTAGTTAGTATTCCAAAAATAAACATTGTAGTAGAGTATGTTTCATTTCCTTGGCATTGAGGTCAGGGTTAAATACTCCGTTATTTTTATATTATCTTTACTGGGTTTTAAAAGATATTTCCACTTGTTTTTCCTTTTAGTTCTCACGTTTCAGAATCTGTGAACAATTCCATTTTTCATCAGATAGCAGAGCAACTACAGCAACAAAACCTAGAACATATCAGGCAGCAACTCCTGGAACAGCAACAGCCTCAAAAGGTTTATAACTCCATCTTGTGGCCTTCAGAATTATTGCTGTCTGTATTCTATAAATTGAATTTTCTTATTAAATATGGTGATTTTTCTTCAACTATTATTAGGAAGATTAGTCTTTTTAGGATTTAACAGTTTTTTCTGTAATCAAAATGTACACAAGCAACTTATGAATGGATTGAGACCATTGTAGACATTAATCTCAGTGTCCTAGAAGTGGAGAACAGAAGACAGAGATGGGCTTTCAGTACCACAACTTAGTTCCTCCCCACTCATGAGTTCTCTCTCAAGTAAGGTAATGATGCTTTTGCTGCTGTTGATGGCAGTGATGACAGAATAGACTGCTGCCTTTACTTCAGCTATTACCATGTGGCAAGAACTTTATTAGGGTGATTACATTTAATGCTGATGAGATAGGTCTTTTGACTCCCATTTCATACCATAGAAAATTGAAGGTCAGTGAAATGAAATATCTGATCTTTATAATATTCACAGTTTTGTTTTTTTTTAAATTTCAGAAAGAGGAAGGGAGAGGGAGAGAGAGATAGAAACATCCATGATGAGAGAGAATCATGGATCGGCCGCCTCCTGCATGCCCCACACTGGGGATGGAGCCCACAACCTGGCATGTGCCCTTGACTGGGAATCGAACCCAGAACCTCCTGGTTCATAGGTCAACGCTCAACCATTGAGCCACACCGGCCGGCCTGTATTCACAACTTTTTGGTGAAAATAAATTTAATACAACCTCACAGACATTTAAAATAAGCGTTGTTAGACAAATAATACACACAGAGCTGAACAGAAAAGCAAGTCCTCAAGTAACCTCTTCTCTGATGAAGCGCATACATCGTGGGGACATAGGCAGAATTCTAATTTCTGTAACAGGTACAAGTGAAGGACTGGAAATATGGAAGTGGGATAGTTACTTTAGTGCTGTTACAGAGGCAAAGGGTTGTCGTGATGGAAGAGTTTATCCAAAAACAGATTTGTTCATCTATCGTGACACTTTGGAATTGCCTTAATTCCAGTTTTATTTCACAAGGTTTAGGAGAAGCAGGAAATTCAAGGTGTAGTACTCTTGACCAGCTTGTAATTAACACCAAGTTATTGGAGTGAAAGGTGAAAATAATACAAACTTGAGTATGTGATCCTAAGGAATCTCAGTCTCTCCCGTCTTGGCTTACTTAATTGCTCTGTGTTATTCATAATTTTAGAAGATACAGTAATAACACCCTTTTGAAAGGAGTAGATGTTCTTAAAAGCGTCATTGTTAAAAAATGAGTGAGGAAAAGGGAGTGGTGAAGAAAAACGACTTTCTAATGCATAAGGTAGATAGTGTTTAAAAAACATTTAGAATTGGAGGGTATAGCAACAGAGTAGCAAATCAAATAAATTGTTTAATTGGCTCTACCAATTCAATTGCCCTACTGTATTTAAGATAGGGTTAATAAGAAGAAAAAACTTAAGCATTTTTATTTACCAATAAGCTCAATATGGCTGTCTAAAAGTTTTAATAGTGTCCTAGAGAAAAGAATAGGATTACTAGTGCCACTCTAAACATAGTCGCCCTGACCACACGTGGAGGTTACCATTACATATCATTCATGATATCCTCCCTTTGTTAATTCTTGATAGTTTATATTTTCTGCAATTAAAAATTCACTTGAAGACCCACTTGATTTTCTCATTCTATTCTAACATTGTAGTCTTCTCCTCTTTTATGAAGTTCTGCTTTGCTTTTAATTAAACTTGGATTTGCACAAAAGTTTAAGTTTAGATTGATCATAAAAGATTAAACATAGAATTTCTTTATGCTTTGGGCTCAAATTTTAGAAATTGTCATGTTTGTGTGTTTAAATTTTCACTTGTAATAATATTCACTATTTCTCAATGTTTGTGTATTTGTATATATTCTCAATAGGCAACCCCTCAGGATAGTCAAGAAGGAACATTTGGATCAGAGCATTCCGCGTCACCCTCACAAGGGAGCAGTCAACAGCATTTCCTTGAACCTGAAGCAAATTTGGATGATTCCATAGATATTCAGCAACAGGTAAAAAGTAAATGCTTTTTTGGGTCATAAATTTATAAATTAGAGAAAAATATTATAAAAGACGGTAATTTTTATTTTAGGTAGAATATTTTATTATCCATTTTATGTAAAACAATAATATCCTGAATGTTTTTTCTCCCTACCTAAGCTCTGCACTCTGTTTTACTATTAGACATTAATGCTACTATCATGAGTAGTTTGTAAGGAAGAAATGTCAACATGTACTGATTCTAAACTAGGCATTTTGTTTGTTTGCTCTTCTTTTGACTATTAAGGACATGGATATAGATGAAGGGCAAGATGGAGCGGAAGAGGAGATCTTTGAACAAGAAGCAAAGAAAGTGGCTGTTCGCTCGAGATCAAGAACACATTCACGCTCTCGTTCAAGGTTCTACATGATATTTAAAAATAGTTGTTTGTAAACATTTAAAATGTTGGCTTTATTTCTTTGCATCAAGATGTAAGGAAATTTTTTTTCTTAGAATTATATCTTATATTGTCTCAGAAAGAAGTAATTCAGAATTTGCTAAACAGAAAATAGTTTGTTCTGTTTTTACTTGGATATATCTGTGGTCATTTATTTGAATAATATACATGAATCACAGCCATATCATGAGACCTTGATTTTGGATTGTGTCTGATTATAGTTAACTAGAGGCCCGGTGCATGAAATTTGTGCACGGGTAGGGTCCGTAGGCCTAGCCAGTGATCAGGGCTAATCAAGTTCCCTGCCTCCTGGCCTCCCTGCCTCCTCCTACCCTCACTCCCTCAGCACCCTGCCACCACCGCTGCCCACCCCTGGTGGTCAGCGCACATCATAGCGAGCGATCAAACTCCCAAGGGGACAATTTGCATATTAGCCTTTTAATAAGTAGGTTATTATATAGGATAATATTTTGATGATATCCACCTTTTAGGATATTGATGTCTCAGAACAACAGTTAAGTCAGGCTGTGGAGGAAGTGTTAGAAATTCTATCGTATTTCTCACATTCCATTTCATCTCATAATACCACCAAAAATGATCATAAAGATAACACTACAAAAGTTTTATAAACTATTATAAAATATCCTATAAATGTTTTTTTGTGAGCTTTTCAACATGGCTAAGGCACATTAATGTACATGCTCATTCAACTTTGAGTTGGATGGTTTTTCTTAACCTCGTAAATTTTTATGGAGCATGCATACATTGGCTTTACTACAAACTACATTAAAACGGAAAGTCATTAGTCTTTAACATTTTTTTACCCTATTTTCTACTCATGAGTACCCTGAAAATCTGAACAGTAAGTAAATACTAGAAGAGGGAGCAGTATCTTTGATCACCTTTTCAGTCATTTCTTGTTTGTTTCAAGATGTTATGAGTATTTACCTCTACTAAATGAGAGCCTGACCAGTCAGCTTTCTCTAAACCCACCTCATGTCACTGAATTATTTGGCTAAAGAAGTTATGTTAGTTATGATTTGGTTGTAGCACAGTGGCTTCCTTATTTGTCTTGTAGCTCCTCCTTAATAAGCAGGTTGGAGAAGTTGAAAGCTTGTAAGCAGAATTACATAATGGCCTAATGCTCTGTTGGAAACATTCTTTGTTTCGTAATTTTAAGAACGTAACATCTACATCACCTAAAGGTTCTTTTTATATTATTGGGTTTTTTGTCCCTGTTTGTGACTCTTGGAAAAATAAATTGAAACACTAAGAGAAAGTGAGACCCTTATGGGGTCTCATTTTCCTGTTTTTCATGGTTGTGGATCATAACCCAGACTCAGTAAGAATTATTGAAAACAAATATTTATGACTCGTGTATTTGAGAAAATGCATATTTAATACTTGATTATAGTTACATTTTTTAAGAGGTAGATAAATATAAAACAACCCTTTTTTTCTCTTTCTTCAAAGTAAGAAATTTAATATAAGAATAACATTGTCATTAGTAGTAAAACAAGATTTTTTTTAGGTCACCAAGAAAACGAAGGTCTAGGTCACGGTCTGGATCTCGAAAGCGTAAGCACAGAAAGCGATCACGCTCACGCTCAAGAGAAAGAAAGAGGAAATCATCACGTTCATACTCCAGTGAAAGAAGAGCTAGAGAAAGGGAGAAGGAACGACAGAAGAAGGGGTTACCTCCAATTCGGTCTAAAACATTAAGTGGTAAGTGACAACATGCTTTTACAAACTTTGGTGTCAACAGATACTAAGAAAATAGTTATCTGCTACAGAGCCTCTAAATCTTACTTTAATACTGAGACTTTGCAAAGTGGTTTGGTAAATGAGTAATTTTATCCTTGGCTTTTGTAATGTGATAGGGGAGAAAAGGGAAAGGAAGAACAGTTTCTACTCAAATACTAAGGTCGTTTGAGAGTTAAAATTTTTTAAAAATACGTTTATATTGATTTCAGAGAGAGGAAGGGAGTGGGAGAGAGAAACATCAGTGATGAGAGAGAATCATCAATTGGCTGCCTCCTGCACGCCCCTTACTGGGGATCGAGCCCACAACCTGGGCATGTGCCCTGAGGGAATCAAACTGTGACCTCCTGGTTCATAGCTTGACACTCAACCACTGAGCTACACCTGCTGGGCCTAAATTTTTTTTTTTTTTAATGCAAGTTACTAAACATAAGACTTGACTAATGATATATAAACTGGACCAGGCATAGTGTCTTTACATGAACACTGTGACTTCTTTGCATTCATGTTCTAACCAGTTAACCACCAGGTAGGTCTGTAGGAGTAATTATTGTAGGAAGCATGTAAATTTTAAAGCTAATTATAAACTTACTGAAATAGTATTGGAGACATTCCGATTGTATAAATTTTGCCTCCTCTATATGTTAATCTACAATGTATGATTAGAAAAAATTTGATAGTAGTGGGAGTTTATTTTAGGAGAGGGCTAGAGGAGAGTTCATGTAGTAGGACTGTGAGGTACAGGAAAGTAAGTTGTAATTAGTGCCAAATTCTGCCTAAAGGATTCTTAGTGGGTTATATAACTTCTAAGGTGAACCAGCAGACTGCAGATGGGCAAATTACATAAAATTGAACAAATTGTCTTTCTTTGCAAAGAGCTGAACATCAGTCAGGTGATCTGATTTCTAGAGGTCTCCAAATATATTCTTTCTGTCTTGGAAATAGATAAATAATTGGTATAACTTATAGTACTGCTGAAGCATCTTGGAAATTCAGGCTTCTAATTAAAGGCAGTAGCCACCTGCTTACTAAGTTCTGGCGCTTTGAGCAATCTTTGGCTATTTTGCTAGAATCTTATCTGATTATGAGAGGCAGTGTTAATCTAATGTCGCTCTAACTCACTCTGAAAGTTTTTATTTATCTCTTAAGGTAAGGGACACTAAGGGAGCCGAAGGTGTGACCATAAAATCTCTACCATGCCTCTTCCCATGATTACATTTAAGGCATTCAGAATCTCCAATTTTAGGATATAGCTTTTACCTGGTGTGTCTTTCATGTAGTTCCTCACCTAATTTTTCATGTTGCTACCACCATTTACATAGTTTTGACTATGGAATTTATTTTCTATTGTTGTTTTATTTTCATGGGTAAATACAATAAAAACAGAAAGCACATAAAGTATGGTGAGAAGGATGTCTCATTTTTTTTTAAATCTCAAATCTCTCCGTGGAAGCAATATTAATTTTATGTGGTCCCAAAACATTTTAAACACAGGCAGTAGTTTTCCCCTACCATTGGTCCTTAGAACACAAGAGTTTTTATGAATAGTCCAGAGGATATGAAACATCAGCACACAGTAGCATTCTGGGAATCAAGTGTCTCCTCCTCATGGAATGGAGGAGACTCGTTTTTGCTTTAAAGTAAAGAAAAAGATGTTCAGGAAAAGGAGATATTCATGGAGGCATGAACAGTACAGCTAAAAGTAGACAAAATGTCTCATGTGTAACATTTGTTTATTAATTGGTAGTGGCTTCCAAGTCTTTTATTGTAACAGTTAAGGAGTTCTAATTCAGTCTTTTGCTCTTCGTATTTTCATGGAAATTATTATTTCCTTAAGGATAGAATACAGTTTTGAGATTTAAATGTTAATTAGAGACAAACATCCATTTAAACGAAAAATACTTTAGTCCGGCCAGTGTGACTCCACTGGTTGAGTGTCAACCTATGAACCAGGAGCGTTAGCCTATGAACAGTTCGATTCCTGGTCAGGGCACATGCCCGCGTTGCGCGCTCTAGCCTCAGCGGGAGGTGTGCAGGAGGAAGTCGATAGATGATTCTTTCTCCCCATTGATGTTTTTCTCTCTCTATTCCTCTCTGAAAAAAAAACAATGCACATTTAAACAAAATACTTGAAAGGTACATAAGATTGCAATGAAAAGTGTTTTGAAACTTTGTTCCACATTAGAATTACCCGTGGTATTTTAAAACTCCCAATTTCCACTATGTCATACTCCATACTATTCATCATCTTTACAGTGGGATCCAGGTACCCAAAGTGATTCAAGTATGCAGCCACGCTTGAGGACAGGTGACATGATAGAGGTTGGCTTGGCATAGATGCAAATGGATAGATACCTAGGATTTTAGTTGATTTTAAATAGAAAAGATAAAAATGTCAGTAAACATGTATTTTAAATATGCTGTCTTAAATTTTAATGTTATTGTTAGTAGAGCTACTCAGCTCCTTAAAAAAAGGAACTGTCTGCGTGATTTAGGTCATTTGCCTCTTTTTTCTTGACAGTGTGTAGCACTACCCTCTGGGTTGGTCAGGTGGACAAGAAGGCAACACAGCAGGATTTAACCAACCTGTTTGAAGAGTTTGGACAAATTGAATCCATTAATGTAAGTATCACATTTTAAATTATAGTTTAAGGTTAAAAAAAAGAATAGAGTTTTCACTCCTACGGAGAGTCACTTTGGTTTCTAATTAGCCTAAGTGTATCTGTCCGTACACATCTTTATAAGGATTGTTCGACTTTGATCATTTCTGTATACATTCTGCTGTTTATCATCTTGCTTAATTAATTTTTAAAATGGAATTCTAACAAAAATTCTTTTTTTATAGTAGTCTAACACTTGATCCCTAAAAACATTCCATTTTGAGTTAGTGGGAACTAGTGTGATCTTTTTATAAAAAAGAAACTGAGTCCACAGAATTGTAATCCACCTGCACATGAGCACACAGGTAGTGTGGAGACACAGCTGGATTTTGAGGTCCCAGTCTTTTGTTAGCCTCTTCTTTCCTCCCTTTCTCTTCTTTGTCTTTTCCTCTCAAAGCCAACCTTAAACAAGAAAACCTGTGTGGCCAGGGCATCTCCAGTCACTTGAGCTTAACTCTTTAACTCCTCAACTTGATTCTTTCAGTGGTTTTGCCCCGCCCACTCTTCTTTGAGTAGTTTCTTTTTCCTGAAGGGCTGCGCTAAGGATGTCCGACTGTAGCTTAGGCCTGCTCCCCGTTGGCAAGTGGACATCCTCCGAGGGCTCCCGGGCTGCCAGAGGGATGTCTGACTGCCAGCTTAGGTCCAATCCCCCCAGGGAGCAGGCCTAAGCCAGCAGGTGGTCATGCCCCAAGGGGTCCCAGACTGCGAGAGGGCACAGGCTGGGCTGAGGGACACACCGAGTGCACAAATTTTTGTGCACCAGGCCTCTAGTAGATAATAAAATACTTTATGTGGGGGGAAAGCATAGTACTTACAACTAATAGGCACTAAGTTTTTTTGTGCCTATTTTACAAGTGATAAAATCCTGGATTTGGAAAATTGATGTAAGATTTAGAAGACCAATTGATTTAGATTTGAGGACCAAGAAAAGTTTGTTAGATTTAGCATTTAGTAGATTATTTGAGAGCTTGAAATAATATTTTCAATTGGTTGGTAAGGAGTTGGGTCTGTATCATAAGATTTGAAGAAGTATGTAAGGGGTTAGGTAGATTTCACTTTTGAAAGGTTTGGTATTACAATGACAGTAGCTTGAAGTGTTAGCAAGACTGAAGGAAAGGTTTTTATTTTTAACAAATAGAGTTTATGAGATATTGGGTAATAATAAAGGGATAGAATACCTTTTGAGTTCTTCAAAAGAAAGTGAAAGGCTCTGTGTGTTTTTTTCTGAATTAATACATTAAGGATAATTTTATGATCTGGCAGTCTATTGAATAGTTAAATGCTTTGTAAATAAAAGTCTCAGATCTTTACAATGAGGCTATTTTCCTGTTCATTTTAAAACCCACTTCCAGAAGTACGTGGCCAAAATTAAGTTGTGTAAATTCCAAAGCTTTAGTTTTATCACTTATTGTAGTTTATAGATTTTGTATTAACGTTAAGATACCCCAAACAATAGTTCTTCACACATCACTCACTATTATTTGGAAAAATTGAAATAATAATGTGAATAAATTGTATGCTTTCAAATATGTGGGCCATACAATATTATTTTCCTTTTATCTTGTGGTATTGTATGCATGTTTGTATACTTTTTAAAATAGTTCTTTATTGTGTATTAGATACACTTTAATTGATATGTGATGATTTAAGATTTTGCATCCATCATGGCTTAGAGTGAGACCAACTAGGTTTTGGATTTTGTTCTTTGTTTAAAACTAAGTAATTAGTTGTACATGAATTGAAGCAGTAAACAGCTGGAGGAGGAAAAGGGAAATGATTCAGTATTCATCAGTAGTTAATGTTCTTTTTCATGAAAACCATAAAATGCCAGAATGAATCGTTCTCCTTATATCCCTTCTAAAGGAAACATTTTTTTTAATAGATGATTCCTCCCAGGGGCTGTGCTTATGTCTGCATGGTTCATCGACAAGATGCATTTCGGGCTCTTCAGAAGCTTAGTTCTGGATCATATAAAATTGGGTCCAAGGTCATTAAGGTGAGATTGGGGTAAGGGGACACATACTTTTGCTTTATTGGATTATTAGGATATTTCTGTATTTAATTGATTTTTTAAAAATGTTTAATGGGCAAAATGCAACAGGAATTTATTATTTCAGTATTATTGAGTACTGAATTAGATATAGATAGATTAATACCCAAAACTTTAGTCAACTTATATTATTAATTTCTCCTTTTTAGCCTATTTCATACAACCCAGGCCCTTATGAAGGTTTTATTTTTATTTTCCTTTAATCTTTAAACTGAGTAATTATGTATTTTTCCATTTTTACCTTGTATAACCAATTTCTTCGATTTGGAGATAATTTATTCCATCAGTTTCTGTAACTGAATTAAAAACGTTAATGTAACTGCTTTCAATGGAGGTAATGTGCCCATGCTTTGTCATTTTATGGCAGAGTGTTTCCTGTAAACTCCAGTGTCACTGGTCTCTTTTCTGGAGTACCAAGTTTTTGTTTAAATTATAATAACTATTCTAATTATCGATAATGTAACTTGACATTTTTTATGGTGAAAAGTAGATTTGGATATTGTTCCTGGAAATGTGTTGTCTTAAAGTAAGAAGTGGAAATAAATTTCATAAAGACAATCCCAATCTAATGCAGTTTTTATTTTACAAACAAAAACAGAACATGAAAACTTTTCATGGCTGCTGTTCTTTCAGTAGTAATGCTGTGCCTGTCCAGCTGATTTTTAAAACTAATTTTATTTGTATTTACAGTGTCTACATGTTTTTTAATGTTTTGCCCTGTTTTTACAGTATTGATAAGCTTTCTGTTTCCTCTCCTAATTCCTGATAGATTGCTTGGGCTTTAAACAAAGGTGTAAAAACAGAATACAAACAATTCTGGGATGTGGACCTTGGAGTTACATACATACCATGGGAAAAAGTTAAAGTGGACGACTTGGAAGGTTTTGCAGAAGGAGGCATGATTGACCAGGAAACTGTAAATACTGGTAAGAACCCTAAAGGTAGTTTTATGTTTAAAAAGCACACTTAAATGTTTGTAATTGGTAAGATAGGGTGAATTGTGTTTATTCTATTTCCTGGCTTCTTTCCTCCAAAAAGAGAAAAAATATGAAACACTTTTGTGTTCAATGTATATGTTTCATGGGTTCTATTTCATTAAGTGTCAGAGTATAGAGAAGAGAGTATTTTAGAAGTTTACAAATGTAGCATTTTTTAGTGTCTTTAACAAAGTTTTCCTCTTCAAGACAAAGAGTTATATATTGTGTATATGGAGGTTTTTTAAAACTAAATATTTAATTCCTTGAGTTTAAATGAGAACTGGAGATTTCATAAGCTTCTTTGAAAAACTGCCTAGATTATTTTGATTAGTATCCATGTTGAGAATGGTTCATATTCATGTAATTTGAGAATGCTTATGTGCCCATACTTTGTCATTTTATGGCAGAGATCATTTGCTTTAACCAAATGATCTTCTGACATGCTCTTTTAAAAACCTTGTCTTTTTTAAAAAATATATTTTATTGATTTTTTACAGAGAGTAGGGGAGAGGGATAGTTAGAAACATCAATGAGAAAGAAACATTGATCAGCTGCCTCCTGCACACTTCCTACTGAGGATGTGCCGCAACCAAGGCACATGCCCTTGATCAGAATCAAACCTGGGACCCTTCAGTCCGCACGCAGGCCGACGCTCTATCCACTGAGCCAAACTGGTTAGGGCAAAAACCTTGTCTTTTTATTTTAAAAAATGATTAGCAATTATAACCAGTAAGAATTCTTAAAATAATTGAAATATGCTATATATGTTATTGCTTCACATCTTTGTAGCATAATAGCTAATTTTTAGAATATTTTTGTTCTCAGGCCAACTCATATATTCAGACACTTTTTCAGTTTTCTTCTTGTCAATTTCTCCTTTTACTTGATGGATGTTCCTCCAGAACATGTATTCATTTACTAAATATTTTAGTTCCTGCTGTGTGCCAGGCATAATTTTAGGAACTGGGATTATAGCAGTAAGACAGACAGACAAAAATATTTCATGCAGTGCACGTTGTAGTATAGGAGTTGATAACCTATAGTCCCTGGGCCAAATCTTGTCAGCAGCCTAGTCTGTAAATAAAGTTTCACTGAAACAAAGCCCCGCTCACTTAAGTTTATCTATTTTATATGACTCCCCCCACCCCCCCCACTACTTTAGTATAGGAAAAGTTTGCCCACCCATCTTCTAGTGGAAAGATAGATCATTAACAAAAGAGATAAACTATACGGTATTTCTATGTTTCTAAGTTTTAAGAAGAAAAATCAAGGGGAGATAGGCAGTCTAGTTGTGGAGCTATTGCAATTTTTATCGGTTGAAGGGGCTATAACGGAGAGGGTGATAGTTGAAGGGGTGAGATGTGCAGCTATCTGGGGAACGCATTCCGTATAGAGGAACAACAAGTGCAAAACCTGTTCAGAAATCAGGAGACCAATATGACTTGAGCAAAGTAAGTGAGGAGTGCGTAGTAGGAGATGAAGTCAGAGAGATACAGAGGGGTGAGCTCATGTAAAGTCTTATTAGTCATTATAATGACTTTGATCCTTACTCTGAGGGAGATGGAGAATCATTGGAGGAACCATTAGACCATTCTATTTTTGCATTGCTGTATTTTCAGAAATATTTTTTGGTATTGGGTTAGTTCTTGTTGATTTTCCCTTGTGACAAAATATAGAATAGGTTGGTTCCTCTTATGTCAGACAGCCTTTGAGATACATATGTATTATATCCCTTTTAAGTGTTTTCTTTATACCAGATATTTTAGTGTTTTTCATTTGTATCTCGTGTCATGCTTCTTTGGACTCCTCCTTAGTGTCCTAATTAGATTTATCTGGGCAAAACCTAAATTATCACCTATAGCTATGGACCCATCTTAAAGATAGATGTGCCAAGGTAGATGAAGGACTTAGGCAAGCATGAAATAAGTATATACATAGAAATAAAATTTAAAGTTGCACTTATCTAGAGGAAATCAATTTCAAATATTTTATTTAGAATGGGAAACTGTGAAAAGCTCAGAACCTGTTAAAGAGACGGTCCAGACAACTCAGAGCCCACCTCCTGTTGAAAAGGAAACAGTGGTCACAACCCAGGCAGAGGTTTTTCCTCCACCTGTTGCTGTGTTACAGGTTAGTGCTGGGTGTTTTTGTTGTTGAATGTGTTGTTTTACATTTCTGTTTTTACTCATGTATTTACTTTCTAAAACCTGGAGGAAATTGTCCAAAGTGCAATAAATAAGAGTTTACACAAACACTTTTTTAAGAAGAATTTTTAGAAATGATCTAATTCATATTTAAATACGTATTTATAAAACAGATGATTACTGATTGCCTGCTCTGTGGCATTTATTGTTTTAGGCACTTGAGATTAGGATACATCACTGAAAAAAACAAAAACAAACCACAAATCCCTGCCCTTAATAGAGCTTTTGTTCTCCAAAAGGGAGACAGAAAATATAAAATAAGTTTATGAGATACTATGGAAGGAAAAAGATAGTATAAGGATGATCAGCTTGGGTAGATGCGACAATCTTATATAATAACCATTTGGCTATCCAAGGAAAAGGCTCATGCTTGGTGTGTTCAAGGAATAGCAAGTAGGCTAGACTAGTATAGAAAGGACACCTCTAGAAAGACTTTGGTTTTCAATCTGGGATGTGGATCCTTTGGAGGATTTTGAAGGAAGAAGTGACTTGATCTGGCTTAAAGTTTTAAAGGATTGTGCTGGCTACTATTTTGAGAATAGAATAGTGGGCATTGATAAAAGCAAGGGAGACTGGTGAAAAGACAGTGAGAGCAATCCCAGTGAGAGATGATGGTGGCTTAGACTAGTAGACTGATAGCAGTGGGAGGGAATGAGAAGTAGTCAGATGCTAGGTGTATTTGGATGTTATCACCAATGGAACCTCATGGCACAATTAGATTTGAGTTGTGAGAAAGAGCAGAGGGAAGGTTTTTGGTCTGAGAAATTGGAAAGATGGAGTTACTGTTATCTGAGAATGGGAAAGACTGTGGAAAGCATTTTTGGGGGGAGGACAATTGGAAGTTAGTTAAGTTTTGTGCATATGAAGTATCTTTTAGACAACAAAGTTAAGATGTTGAATAGACTGTTAATATAATAGGGATTTTAGAAGAGAGGTATGGCTATAATGCAGTTAAATATTTGGGGATTATTGTACCTAGGATGAGTACAAGGTATTTATGCTAGGAGTAGAAAATAAACTTATGAGAAATTGGAGTAATTTTAAAGCTGTTATTGACATGCCTCCTAGGTTGCATAGCAGAGTTAGGTACTATAAACTTACTGGGAGATGGCAATTTAAAATTGAGCCTTATACTCACTATTCAAATAGGTGCCGTTACTTTATATCACTTGAATATAAGATCGATTTCACAATCTCCACATACACTATCTGGTGAGAAATAGTGCCTTGCTTTTACCCCAAGTAGACTGACTTTTACAAGTATTCAAAAAGGAAAGGAACAAAGCAGCTTAATATAATGGTATTTGTTACCTTCCTAAACAAGAAATAGAAATAATTTACCTTTAGGTGTTCCAAGATGTAATCATTGCAGATGGATAAAATGATTTATGGACTTTTTATTTTCTATCCACAAAGATTCCAGTAGCACCAGCTGTGCCTACAGTTAGTTTAGTCCCACCAGCATTTCCTGTGTCAATGCCGGTTCCTCCTCCTGGATTCAGTCCAATACCTCCACCTCCTTTTCTACGAGCAAGTTTTAACCCTTCACAACCACCTCCTGGTAAGGAGTTTTTGTCTTATTAATGGAACTCTAGAATATCATTTCTTTTTCCAGGTTAAAAGGCTATAGTGCAGTGATTTTTTAAACATTAGCATGTTGGAATCACTGGGAAGGTATGTTAAAGCACAAATCGCTGGTCAGCCTCTTTTTGTTGGGGACCACACGTTAAGAAGCATTGACAGAGAAGAAATGGAATCCTTTAAAATCATTGAAGTGCTCTTAAAATAATTTAATATTTATGATGAAATTGTTATATATTAGTTCTTTATAGTTATTATTCATTGGAAAGTGTGCATTAAATTATATAGATTTTTCTCCAAAAAATCATTAGGGTTTCCATTTTGACATTAGAAATAATATCTTAAAATGCTAATTGAATTCATAATGCATTTTGACCTAATTGTTGATAAACAAAAGTTCTTGAAATCAGTGTTTCTAGGTAAAAACTATAGATTACTTAAATAACACATATTAATTAAATATAAGTAATTGCTTATATAGAATTATTTGTCTATTTTAACAAACAAGGTACTATACTTCGATATTTGTAATTTAAGCTCTTAGCTATTAAATAGAGTTTCTAAAAAATACTAACAAGGCCAAAAAGTGAATTCATTGTCTGAAAATGCTTGTAATTTGTTTGTCTTATGACATAAAGTTTTAAAATTACAGTTTACTACGTTAATTTGAAATTGATGCAGATTTTAATAAGAATTTTATTTTTGTATATTTTAAGTATTTGACAATTTTGTCAAAATTTTCAGTATTTGTGATTAAAATTTATTTTTAGAAGATATTATAAACTGATTATTTCAAAAACTATACCGCTCAGACTTTATAAAGTCATTGTCGAGCATTCATTTGTTGAAAATCACATCTCTTTTTTTTCTTATCTTCAGCAACTGTTTTTTAATTCAATTTAATGATAGCTCTGTATTTTAAAAATTCAAGGAAACAGGTTTATAGTTTGATCATTTAGTATTGAAAATCATCAAACAGCCAGTATTAAATTGGAGATTTGTTTCAGTGCTCAAAACATAATATAGTAACATCCAAGATTAAGGAAAATAAATACCTTATCTAGTAGGTAAACATTATATTTATCAAAGAAATATAATAGCACCTTTTACAGATGACATTGTTGCATATAATGTTATCAGCAGCTTGAAATGCAATGTTTAACTCCCCAGGTAGTCACCATGTTAACATATTAACAGGTTGCCTGGCTTGTAATCTTCAGTTTGATAGCATTGTATTGAGTGTCACAGAACTTTCTCTTGATGAGGACCTCTGTGCATTGCTTTAGCACACTCTATACTAAGGATCAAATAAGGTAGTGTATATAAAAATAATTTTTAAAATGGAAAGTACATTCACAAATATGAGATTGTAGTAATAAAAGGCTTTTGTAAGGATGTAGAATTTGATTTATAGCTATTGAAATCTTTGCTTTAAAAGAAGTAACTTTTCTTATGCTATTTTATTTTGGGTCTTTTTTTTCCCATGTAGGTTTTATGCCACCTCCAGTTCCACCACCTGTTGTACCACCGCCTACTATTCCACCAGTAGTACCAACATGTGAGTTTTCTGTTTTAGGATTTTCTTAATTCATGGAGTGTTAATGTGTTGTTTCTCATTCTTTTGAAGTATTGTTCTTTTTTATTATGAAAGTTTTTAGAAACACATTTTTTTGTTGTTGTTAAATGATTTCTAAAAAATTTAACAATATCATATGTCAGTCCATGTTCAGATTGGCTTTCTTGTCTCAAAATGTCTTTTTATAATTGGTTTATTTTAGTCAAAATTCAAAGAAGGGTCTCTACATCTTATTTCTGTGTGTGTATGTATTAAATATCTTAATCTAGAGAAGTACTGCCCAAACCTCCCTTTCTTTTTCAATTCTTTTTTTAAAAAATATGTTTTTATTGATTTTAGAGAGAGGAAGGGAGAGGGATAGAGAGATAGAAACATCAATGTGAGAGAGAAACATCAATTGGCTGTCTCCTGCACACCCCTTACTGGGGGTTGAGCCCAAAACCTAGGTTTGTGCCCTGACCGGGAATCAAACTGGTGATCTCTTGGTCATGGGTTGATGCTCAACCACTGAGCCACACCAGCTGGGCTCTTTTTAAATTCTTAATACATTTGATTGATTAAAGAAACAGTTATCTTCTCTATGCAAAATTCCAAATGATGTATTTGGTGTTTTTTTTGTTTATGGTATTGAATTTGTCCCTCTATCTCCTTGAATTTCCTATGAATAGGAAGTTTTTAGCACCAAAGGCTTGCTTCTTTTTTGGTGAGAATCCTTAAAGGTGTGGTGCCTCACCTCAGGAGCCATGCAGTGCCTTCTTTTCCCACTTTAAATGATGTTAAGATGCGTCCGAGCATTCAGGTATTGGAGCCTGGTGATTAAAAACGTTTCCCTCAAATTTGTATCCTATGGTTTCCATCCATTGATCACTATTACTTAAATCTAATTTTCATTCATTTCAAAGTGGTGATCTTTCGAATTTTATAATTCTTTGCATATTGCTTAACTAGAATTTTTCTATAAAGAAAAACTTCCTCTTATCATCTAAGTGTATCTAGTTTACCTTGACATACAGTTGTACATGCAGATGCTAAATTATTTCCTGTAAATGCCTTTTTTTCAGAGTAATGAGTTAGTTCTATATTAATTCCAGTGCTATCCAGTGGTTGAAGCTGGAGAGGATTTCTCTTATTTCTCCTCCTCTTTCTCTCCCTTTCCCTCCCACTACTTTCTCCTCATTTTCTTTCTTTTTTTTTTTTTTAATATATTTTATTGATTTTTTACAGAGAGGAAGGGAGAGAGATAGAGTCAGAAACATCGATGAGAGAGAAACATCGATCAGCCGCCTCCTGCACATCCCCCACCGGGGATGTGCCCGCAACCCAGGTACATGCCCTTGACCGGAATCGAACCTGGGACCCTTCAGTCCGCAGGCCGACGCTCTATCACCTGAGCCAAACCGGTTTCAGCATTTTCTTAAGTGTTTATGGATTATGGATGTTTGCTTCCAAGCAGTTGCATTCACTTTCCTCTTTGCATTTTAGTTCCATTTTCTTTTTACAAAAATATATTTTTATTGATTTTAGAGTGGAAGGGGGTGGGGGGAAGAAAGTGATTGAAACATCAATGATGAGAATCACTGATTGGCTGCCTCCTGCACACCCCCTATCAGGGATCAAGCCTGCAATCTGAGCATGTGCCCTGACCAGGAATCGAACCATGACCTCTTGGTTCATAGGTTGATGCTCAACCACTGAATCCCCCTTGGGCAGACTGCTCCATTTCTGACAATGAAAGACCTTTGATATTGCCTCTGGATCTTTTGAGATGTTTCTGAGAGCTTCTTAGTTTCCGCCAATGATGGCCTGGTGGACTTTATTGTAAAGAGAGTGTATGTGGTAGAGAGCTCCCCTTTTGATAATATCTATTTCTCTTATATTTTTAAATTCTTAACTCTCTTTTAGTGTTTAGACCGTATTAGGATTCTTCTTTTTTTGTTATTGTTGGTTGGTTAAGTAGGAAGAATTGTTTAGTCTTCCTGATAAGTTTTTAAAAAATAATGTAAATATTTTTATTGGTTTTTTTGTTTGTTTGTTTGTTTTTTGTGGGTTTTTTTTAAGTGAGGAAGGAAGAGGGATAGAGAAACTGGGGTTCAAGCCTGAAATCCAGGCATGTGCCTTGACTGGGAATCGAACTTTTGACCTCTTTGTTCATGGGTTGATGATCAACCACTGAGCTACACTTGCCGGGCTGGAAAAAATTTTTTTTAAATTTATCTTTATTGTTGAAAGTATTACAGATGTCCCACCTTTTCTCCCATTGACCCATTCCACCCTCCTCCCACTCAGAAGCCATATCTGAATTCACTATTCATAGAGACTCATCCTAGAGCCTACCTTTTAATTATTTCTTCTTAATTTCTTCATTTTGGAATGTCCGGGATAAAAATAATGGAGAAAAGGAAATACCATTGTGTTCCAGATACTCTCCTATTTACTCACTCGATCTCATTTAATTCTTAAAATTTGCATTTGTGAGCCCAGGTGGTTTTATAGCTTTCTTATGTGCTAACAGTTTGTCCAGATCATTTAGAGCTAAATATGAGGATAACACAGTTCCTAAAATCCCCAAGTAAATGATTTAATAGTATTGTGATAAAAATTGGGCTGAAAATTCTAATTGCTTGATTGTGGTTTTATATTCCTTTAATTTGTTTTTTAACATATAAATAATATAAACATTTAGGGGGCTTTCTACACATCCTTTTAAATGGAATGTTTATACCTTTTTTATTTGCAGTCCACTTTATCTCCTCCCATCTGATGAGCTCCTAACCTCATTTTACAAAAAGTTGTGAATATAAGAACCCCAGCCCATTCTAATTTCAGGGGGATTGGGTGGATATTCATTCTTATACATATTTGCCAGTCTGCACTAATCATTTCTATATATTCAGAGATACATGTGCTAGCTTCCTTGGAAAATTATGAATTTTTTTTGTATTGCTGAGATTTTCTTAAATTACTGGTCCTTATTTTACTAAACATTTTTGTGCAAATATTTCTAAAAAATTTTTTAAATTAAAAAATAACAGTTTAATCTTTATGGTGACTCATTTGTCATTTTAAGCCTCAGTTATTACACATTACCCTGGAGCAGTGGTCGGCAAACTCATTAGTCAACAGAGCCAAATATCAACAATACAACGATTGAAATTTCTTTTGAGAGCCAGATTTTTTAAACTTAAACTATATAGGTAGGTACATTGTTATTAACTTAATTAGGGTACTCCTAAGGCTTAGGAAGAGCCACACTCAAGGGGCCAAAGAGCCGCATGTGGCTCGCGAGCCGCAGTTTGCCGGCCACTGTGCTAGGTAATACAGGGGTGCTATGAAAGAATGTAGTTTTTATTATAAATGAAATAGAGGGACCAGAAGAAAATTCCTATAGGAAGGTCCTCAAGTAACTTTGTTTCACTCAATGTTGTTTGGTAACAATGTTTTTGAGATCCTTAGGAACTTAACACTTGTTTATATCAACTAGCCTATGGTTAGTTACACCATTTTAAAGTCACAGAACCTACCGACAACCTTAAGTGAGGACCTACTGTATGTTGTTAATTGAGCAATCATACCAGACAATTGGGGAGAGAGGATAGGGAGTCATTTAAGAGTTTGGCAAGGCCATTGTTATTCATGGTTAATATTTTAACTTAGCACATGAATGATGAGATAATTAAGTCTGAAATACAGTCTCTCACTCTTTAAACAGCTTTGGTGCAGCCGCCATTATCCATGACTCCAGAAACTGTGAAAGAGGTTGGATTTGGTAGCCTTGTTTTACCAGGTGGTTCTGTTGCCAGCAGTCTTGCTCCTTCCACTCTGCCAGCTGGAACTGTTTTTAATCCTCCCCCTAAACAAGCAGAGCCTGAAGAAAAAGTACCTCATCTTATAGATCACCAGATCTCTTCTGGTGAAAACACCAGATCAGGTAAAAACTAAAATGAAAATCCCCAGAAACACATAATTAAATCATAAATACTGCTTCTGTATAGTGGTGTTTAATTCCGAGGTGCCATGCATTTGTAACCAGTTTAATGCACAAATATTGAAATGCAGTTTTTAAAAAGATCACTGTCCTTTGAAATTTATATTAAAAACAAATTTGTTATTCTGTTCAGGATAGTATAGATTTTGACGCCTTTCCATTGAGACCTCATTCCCTCTACTTATTTTTTTCTTTTGCTTAATGGGACTGATTTAATGTGTTATCAAAATAAGATTGCACAAAATATGAATACCTACAAAACGATAAAAATGAACACATACTAAGTATAAATAACTTACTTATGACAGGTATTATTTAGCCAGGTCTACAAATAAATATGGTGTTTGAAAGCAGCAAGTCCTTTTTTTTTTTTTTTTGGCACCACGGTTAGCATATATATAAAGAATTGTGGTTTAAAGGTGGCAAATAAGTATAAAACCTGGCATTTTTGTTAACTTAAAGATCATGTTTAATATTTAAATTTTACTATAACTGGTATTAATCTTAGCTATAATTCTTACTTAGTATTTAGTATACTTTGAATTTAGCTGATTAACTCTAAGCTAACTGCTGGAAATTATAGCATTAGTTTTCTTTTTATACCAGAATAATTTTTGTTTTTTGTTTTTTCTCCCCTTTCCATTTTAGTGATTCCAAATGATATTCCAAGCGGCTCTGCAATTTTAGGAGGACAGCCGCCAAATGTGACAAACAATTCTGGAATTCTTGGAGTTCAAAGACCAAATGCACCAAGTAATTCTGAAATGCTTGGAGTCCGGCCATCTAACGTTTCCAGTGGTTCTGGGATTATTGGAGCCCAGCCACCAAATATTCTAAATAACTCTGGAATTTTGGGAATACAACCATCCGGTGTTTCGAGTAATTCTGGACTTATGGGAGTACTACCCCCCAGTCTCCCTAACAATTCTGGACTTATAGGAGTACAGCCACCCAATGTTCTAAATACATCTGGACCTTTGGGAACACAGCCACCCGGTGGGCCTCAAAATTTACCCCCTTTACATCTCTCTAATCAAAGGATGCCTGTAATGCCAATGTTAGACCTTCGTCCAGGACTAATACCGCAGGCACCTGGACCAAGATTTCCTTTGCTACAGCCTGGAATTCCACCCCAACGAGGACTCCCTCCCCCATCGATGCTTGATTCAGCTCTTCATCCACCTCCCCGTGGTCCTTTTCCTCCAGGAGATATTTTTAGTCAGCCAGAAAGACCTTTTCTAATTCCTGGAAGGCAAAGTATAGACAATATTGCTAATCCAGAAAAAAGGATACCGCTTGGAAATGATAACATTCAACAGGAAGGCGATAGAGATTACAGGTTTCCTCCTATAGAAACCAGGGAAAGCATGAGTAGACCTCCCCCAGTGGATGTTAGGGATGTGATTGGGCGGCCTGTAGATCCCAGAGATGGTCCTGGAAGGCCTCCATTAGATGGCAGGGATCATTTTGTAAGGCCTCCTGTAGATATTAGAGAGAATCTTGTGAGGCCAGGCATGGATCATCTTGGTCGAAGAGACCACTTTGGCTTTACTCCAGAGAAGCCATGGGGGCATAGAGATTTTGATGAGAGAGAGCATCGGGTTCTACCTGTCTTTGCTGGTCCAAAAGGCTTACATGAAGAAAGAGGGAGATTTCGGTCTGGAAGCTATCGATTTGATCCCAGAAGTGGTCCTTGGAACAGAGGATTTCAAGAAGTTCACAGAGATTTTGATGACCGCAGAAGACACTGGGAGAGGCAGAGGGATAGGGATGACAGAGATTTTGATTTCTGCAGAGAAATGAATGGAAATCGTCTTGGACGAGATAGAATTCAAAACACCTGGGTCCCCCCTCCCCATGCTCGGGTTTTTGATTTCTTTGAAGGGGCCACTTCTCAACGAAAAGGTGATAATGTGCCTCAGGTTAATGGTGAAAATGCTGAGAGACATGCTCAACCACCACCTTTACCAGTACAGAATGAACCTGAACTTTATGAAAAACTGACATCTTCAAATGAAATAAACAAGGAGAAGAGTGACACAGTTGCTGATGTAGAAAGTGAACCAGTGGTAGAAAACACAGAAACTGAGGGGACATAATCATCACTCAGTAGGTAAAAAGATACCTTTTGTAAAGTTGTCATCTCTCTGTAATAGATTAATGGCTGACTGGACCATAGTTGTTCACTTTTGTCTGCCAGAATTAAGTTAATCTGATGTTCATGTTCACTTTTCTCTTAAAATAATTGTACAACTGACTTGTATAGACATTGTTCTTAATATGAACATGATAGGTAAACATTTTTTATTTTTCTGATAAATATAAATGTTGCCCCCAGATTCTTTTAACTTCAAGGAAATGAATAACAGCTTGTCAGAGACTTCCTATGGAAGAAAGGATTTTTTAGATACTACTATTAGGTTGGATATGGTAATAGGTATATTTCAGAATAGCAAGCCGTGGTATATCTTATCCATATCTTTAGGCTGCTGCAGAATTTTAAGGTAATAGACAAAGCTGTGATATTTTCTGCAAAGACTGGCTCTAGGTATTTGAGGAGCACAATACAGAGATTTTAAAAAGTGATTTTGTAAAATCTACATACACTATGGTCTCTGTTTCTCCAAAGTAAGTGTTTGTGATTTGTTCCTCATACTGCAGTGAGTAAAAAGAAAACAACAACATAAATATTAAAGTACGTTTCAATGTTGGGTGAATTTTGTTTTTAGATGCCAATAAAACTTATTTGTTTGATAACAGTGTTCTAGGAATTGTATTTTTTTAACCTACAAATTCTTAAAACCCTGAATCGTTAGCTGCATGTGCTTAGTTGCAAAAGGTTTCTCTTACTCCTAATAACAATGAAGAACTGTGGTGGAAAAGCATGTACTTTAATATAAAAATCATGCAGTCTCATTAGTTTGTATATAAAATCTGTGTATATTTATTGTGTGAGTCATAGGTTATTTTGTTTCTCTGTATGTCTATATTCATGCACATACAGAGAAATATAGATGTTGATAGTTTAGATAATAAAATACTTTTTAAAAACTGAATAGAATTAGATAAATTTGACATTGCTCATAGTTACAGCTCTTAGCTTTTATGAAGGGGAAAATAAATACTGTAAAGAAATACATTGGCGGTTTGCTAATTTAAAAAATAAGTAATTAATCATGAAGCCAGATTTAGCATGGGCCCACATTTCATATAAATGCTTGCTTGCATTGTGTTGTTTCACATTATATTTACTATTCTGCATAGATAGTGCTAGTACTAAAGTACTTCCTGGCCACTTGCCTGACGTGAGTATCTTAATGGCACAAAATATAGAGTGTTGTTGATGGATTTAAAAACATTACTTTGTATACCAGGAACAAAGTGTCTGTCGTGTGTTCTGCAGGCTCTGGGTAACACTGTTCAGATTAATCTCCAAGGTAAACTGAGTAGCAGAAAAATTTGGTCTTGGTTTCTGTTATTTATTTTTGTTTTCGTTTTCATTCATTTATTGTTTGTGTCTCCTTTGGGTTTTACGTATGTATACACATATGTATAAAACCATTGGTGTTTTTTCATTTCTAATGATAGCTTTCATTTGGTCCTAGTTTCCTGTGCATTCCCAACAATTCATCATTTGCTCTATTTATGTAGAAGTCTTAAGTTAGGTTTGTCAAAAATAACCCCAGCCCCATGATAAGATCATACCAGCTATTTAAAATTGTATGTTTTTGCTAACTGTGTTTGATGACCTAGAGAGCTATAGGTCTTTACGGTTCCTGGCCAAAAAGAAAGTCTTTTCTTCTTACAGATTCTGAAATAGAAATAGTACATTCTTTATTTTGTTATTTGGAAAAGTGGTTGAGAGGGGGAATTTGATGTTTATTTTTAAGGTAACTCAGTTCAGTTTAATAATTTGAATTGGTTTCCAACAGGGAAAACTGTGACAAAGGCACAAAATTTTAATGTTTGGGAAAGATTTGCCTCGTCTTCAAGGAAATTACATTGACTGGAGTGTCTCTCAGACTCCTTTAGTTGCATTTACCATTATTAATATTAAATGACATGCACTTAGAATAGGTAATAGGAAAGAATGTGAGACTTTTCACTGGCTTCTAATCCCAGACTTTTCAAATTGCTGTTGGGCCTTCATGTGCAAACTTAAAAACAAGACATGTGCAGGTATTACACTGGCTGGAAGATTGTGGTGGTGCAAGTTTCCTCGTCATTTGTCAGTACAGAATCTAGAAACCTATCTTGAAATGTGTGACGCTCTTAACGTAGCTGAAAAAAATTTGTGTACTTATTCTCACAGTGATCTTGTTTTGTTGAATATTTAAGTGAAAGGATACTAACCATTTTCGTACTGAATTTTCAAAATTGATATTTATGTTCAATTTTTTAAAAAAATGCACAGAAGAGTTAATTGTCTTTGATAAGTTTGACATAGGACCTATCACACTTTTGATGCTTTTGGTCACAGTGCTGTCACTAGAATGCTGGCAACTAGAAATTTACAAGGAGTAACCTAACCACTTTACTTTAATAAAATGATTAAAGTGCTATAGGCAATATCGGCATTATACACCATAATGTTGATTTGTGATTGTTAGAGAGAGTATGATATGACTTTCTGCAGTATCAGTAGCCTGCAGTATTAATAGACATTAATATTTAAATAGTTTTTATGTCTTTAAACATTTCATTAAACATTGGCTCTGTCCTTAGCATAAATGTATATACTGTACTTTGATCTTTTGTATGGTAGGTAGAAACTTATTTTACAGCAAAGTAGTCTTTATCTGCAGCATATTATAGGTGGAATGCACCTTTATTCTAATTTTTATGTCTACACATAGGGCAAACAAATACTTAGAAAACAGGAAGATCGCACAGTATAAAATTACTTGCTTAAACCTCTGGAAATTATATAATAATTCATTGATAAAATTTGTTACTTATTTAAGTTATTATATTTTTACTAGAGTCATTTCTTTTGTCCTGATAATTTAGTTGCTTCATTAAATTTATTGGCCATTTTTCACTCGTATCAAAGATTATAGTTTATGGAGCTCTACATTTAGGGTTGTTTGGAGTGTGGGGCAATTGTGTTACATTTAAAAAGAAAAAGTTGCTCTTTTAATTGGAAAAAGCATTTTTTATAAACAGTTCATCAGGTCTAAGGTGCCATTTTTCATTGATTGTAAGAAGCACCATTCGGAATAAAATAAATGCTTCCAATATAACGTCACTGATTATAAGACTCAATTCAGAAATGTTAAAATATAAAAAGTATCTTAGAATCAAAGAAATGAGGTATTCATTACTGAACTTTATGCATGTGTTTTAGATGGGCACAACCTTTAATGAAAAAGAAAATTTTAATATTAAATTTTTTTATACCTTATGTGCCTTCTTCATTATTACTTTATTGGGTGCTATATTAATAACATGTTTTAAGGGCTTTTAACTCTTTCAAAGAAAAAAAAAACTAACATTTTTCTTTTTAAATATTTTACATAATATAGAAGAGGAGAGCAGTATCTTTATATTTTTAAGATAAGCAAAATAGAAATGACATGAGTAATCATAAATACTGTAGTGTGGCAGAGAATTATAAATGTTTTAATTGATTCTGTGGTTTTATATAACATCTTTTAAACTATAACTTAAGTTGATAGTTATATTTTTTACTTTTGAAGAAAAAAATCAGGTTACTGTGGTTTACAATAGGAAATTTAAAAGCAAGATACTTTGATCCAACAAAACTTTCTGGAATTAGAATTTAAAATTAATGGCCCAGATTGTTTTCTTTTGGGGGGCATACTTTAAATAGTGGCATGCATATTGGAAGCAGTTTGAAATACACTACTTCTGTGGTTTTCAGGCAAGAAATGAATAATAGAATCACTGGTGGAGCTCTGAAAGTTTGGGGGTTTTGGGGGACATCACAAACATACTAGTGCAGAATCTCCTGGGGCAATACTTATTTACACACACACATACACACACACACATAATAATCCCCCACGTACCCCCACTTTCACTACATTAAAATACATAAATATTTAATGTACCAAATACTTGAGATTCTTTTTTTTTTTTAAATATATTTTATTGATTTTTTTACAGAGAGGAAGGGAGAGAGATAGAGAGCTAGAAACATCGATGAGAGAGAGACATCGATCAGCCGCCTCCTGCACATCTCCCACTGGGGATGTGCCCGCAACCCAGGTACATGCCCTTGACCGGAATCGAACCTGGGACCCTTCAGTCCGCAGGCCGACGCTCTATCCACTGAGCCAAACCGGTTTTGGCAATACTTGAGATTCTTAAAATATTTTGAAAAGTAAAATACTTGAGTGATACACAATTATCTTTAGTATTTCAAGAAAGTAGGTACTTAATTGTGGCAGCTGGTGTTGGAGGATGAATAAAAAAACTAGAGAAGTCCGTTATCACAGATGTTTTAAACTCAAGCATTAATTTTAAAATGAACTATAGCAGATAAGGATGGGAGGAAGCATATGAGATAGATTTTGTAGGAAGTAATTTTGACTCAAGTGAAACTTTGTTTAGGATACCTCAAATAAAAATTTACTTGATATCATGTAATAAAATGCTTTGGTTATGTAGAAAGCCCATTTGAGACAAAACTGTAAGCATTAACTTTATCAGAGACTAGAAGTAGCGTTATTAGTGGGATTACTGAGATGTGGGTGGCATATCAAAAAGTAATGCAAATCAGTATTGTATTTCGGCACGAACTTTGCTCAGACATTTTCTTCTCTACTTAATTCTCTCCTCTTTCATGCGATTCTTTTCATCCTATATATACACTTGCAGTTACACTGTCTCGTTCTAATCAAGGTATAGAACAAATACTCTAAGTAATTTGTAAAATACATATAGTATATCATGGGGTGTGATTGCACTAATGGGCTAACTTTATATTGTATGAGAAATGTCAGGTAGTTGGATGACCTGTAATGAAGGAAGCTGAGAGAGTGCTTATGCACTGAGCTCAATACATGGAGAGTGAACTTGTAACTCTGAGCCCTGAGAATTAGATGAGTTTAGTGAGCATATTACACTTGCGGAGCAATGGCAGATATG